GACTGTTGGCATTGTGTCGACTACAGCAAGAAGCCAGCTACACGTCTGTACCCTTCATAATGTTGTTATTTTTCCTCGTATCTGTGTCTGTGAACAGTACTGGACAACTGGATGATTATGTCTCATAACAATCTTCCCTGTACTTCAGATCCGGCTGGTTCAGATGAAGAATCGCGTGATGAAGACCCATGCGGCATGACTGTGGACGAAACAGGTTATTATTTACTCTTGCTATTATTCTCGTTTGCTTTTATTCTTGCCATAGGAAGGCATTTGACAGTGTGTGGGGGATGGCCTGTTCTACTCGTATAAGTTGCAAAATGATCCTGAAACCTGTTTCTTAATGACTGGACGAGACGCTCTTTGAGCAACAAAATGTCAGACTGCCGTGAACTGAAGCTAACGCCCCCAAGCATAAATCCTGACGGATTGTTGATCTTGCTCCAGTCTGCCCAGGAAAGCTTGACGGATCGGACTACCGCGGCAACCTCTCCGTCACTAAAAGTGGGAGGACCTGCCAGCGATGGGATTCCAACACTCCTCACTTTCATCACAACTACTGGCCGGGGACGTCAGGGCCGGGGACTGACCCTGACGTGGCCGAGAACTACTGCCGCAATCCAGACAGTGACGAGACCACTCTGTGGTGTTACACAACGGACCCTAGCACACGCTGGGAGTACTGTAACAACCCGACATGCCTTATCTAACTTACCTTATATATATCAAAACATAATTTTGGTTTATCATATCTTCGTTGGTACTTTATCAATTTCATTGTTATATATTTAAGTTTACCGAAGGAAAACATATTGTTTTTGCTCAGTTTCTTCATCCTATTTTCTTCTTCTCCAAACAGTGACCAATGTTGTATCTATTACCATGGTAACTAGTGTTGGCTTACATCATGTTGCAATTTTATAGCAGGAGGGACTTACACTCCTGTCTGATCATATACTAGTATATGAATGTGTTTGAGTAAGAATCAACAGAGCAGACCATATGTGAAGGTAAACATTATGCATTTGCCTTGCAAATGTTACTTTTCTAGTTTATTGGAAAGTTTGTAAGACACATTGCCACAGTTGTCCTACATTTGTGAATCTGACATCAAGGTTAACTATGTGAGTGGTCGAGAAAACATTTAGTGCTGAAAATTCCCTGCCAAGACATCGCTGGATATCAGCAGTTTCCGTACTTTTTCTCATAAGTTTAAATGAAATTGACTCCTTTTCACTTATTTGCATTTATAATATTCTGTACCATGTAGGTGTTAGCCAAGAGTGTTTCACTTGATCAGTAGACTGTAGTATCAGAGAATTAAGGTACAGCACCTGTAATACTGTTTTTGGGAGATGGTAAAACATCTTTGTCTAGGCGCGACCCCTAGCGGATGTAAAGTTAATAAACACTGCAGCTTCTGACCTCCTGAGGAGCCAAATTGTTCAGCCACAATTTCTACTATCTTACAGCAGCCCAAGGTGTCTGATAGAGACTAATGTGTTACAATTCTCATGTACAAGACTAGAAGATAGAGAATTTCATGTTGGCACGCTTGGGTGACGCTTAATATTGTAAGTTTCGATAATGTCCCGTAGTAGCACAAGATGAACGCATTGCCGTTTCTCTACACTTTCGGAGAGACATCTATGTAATGCTGCGTTGGATGGTCGGGATGTTTGCGTGAACAAAGAATAAAGGAATCATATCATGAATATGCACAATAGGATGCCTAGACCTGTTTTTATTTTTATTTTTTTTCGCCCTGTCGCTTCATATTTTTTCTGAAAAAATCCGAGAACCAACAAATTAAATTGGTGTGGCCTAAAGGAAACAACAATATTCTTACAAACCATGATTTTATTCAGAATTTACAAATCACTAGCAAACTGGAAAAACTGGTTTTGGAGTCACAATGGCCTAATGAAAATATCTGAGTCTGATTTACATATTCACTTACCTATGCTGAAATTTATTGAAACTTTAGGTGTGAAATGATTCAATCTATGAGTTCTAGTATTTCTATTACTGAATTGGGATCTGAATATCAGGATTCCAATCTCCCCTAGGGGAGATAGGGATTCCAATCTCCCCTAGGAGGATTCCGGATCCCCCTGGATTCCAATCTCCCCTGTGACATTATATATATATATATATACTAGTATGCTTTTTGCTGCTGCAACTTGTGACTGCACGACCGGGCCCCGGGTTGTGACCTTCAAGCATTACAGTCCTCGGCATTACACAATCTCTGATACGTAGTAGCCTGGGCGTTATTCTTATCAATCCCTCGCAGGATTTTCAGAAAAAGACATGTACATGTACATATAAACGTCCCCTTTCTTTCGTGTTTTGCACTATTGGCTTTGCTGCTAAAGCCGACAGACTCTACAAAGAAGCACAGACCGTTTCAACTTGGTCTCCAGTGGTCATTTCAGACGCGCTGATCTTTCTCATGCACGTTTCAGTTTGGTCAAAGGTGGTGTGTTGCAGACTAATTTCCTACAGGCTAAAGCCTCAGTACAATGTAGTATGCAAGACAGTGCGGTTCGAAAATCTGAGCAAGCAGGTGGTCAGTCCTGGTGCCAAATTTTCGAAGCGATTTTTGTCTGTGCTAGCATTTCTACGTCTCGTAGTCTTTGGGAATGGTGACCACCAAGCAGAAAATGTTGGTCTGGGTCAGCATAATTGTTGTCGTGGGGTGCATCCCTCAAAATGGTAAACAAACATTTCGTTGCTAAAAAAAACTTTGCTTACGTTTCGGTGTCTATTAGATATCTGATGATAGACACCGAAACGTAAGCAACATGAGAAAAGTTTTGGTTGTGTTACAAGAAAATCCCTAGGCTATATTCTATGTTCTACCAATCTGGTCAAACTATTTTCGGTAGATGTGTCAACTCGTTGTATAATCAGACACTTAGGGATGGGCACCGGCTATGTTACATGCAAATTATATATTTCAGCATTTAACCGCCCAAATCGTCAAAACGATGTCATACATTCGTCGTGCTAAATGGTATGAAAAATTATTTTTAAGGGGGAAATATGAGATAATTGTTCTTTTGATTTGTTTCATTCGGTAAATTGTTACTGTTATGTTTACTTTTATGTTTACCGAAGGAAAACATTGTTTTTGCTCCATTTCTTCCTCCTCTTCTTCTTCTGTTCCAAACACTAACCTTTGACCTGGCCAATGGCCTCTTTTGTTGACATCTGTCACCATAGTAACTGGTGTTAGGTTACATAATGTTGCAATTTCATAGTAGGCATTTAGGCTCCTGTCACCATATACTTGTACATGTATGTGAATGTTTGAGTAAGAATTAACAGAGCAGACCGTATCCAAAGGTAAACATTATGCATTTGCTTTGCAAATGTTACTTTTCTAGTTTAAGATTATTTTTGATGCGTCACCCGCGCAGGTACTCGATCGACCTTCTCTCTCTTAGTTTCCGTCCACTGACTCCTCTAGGTACAGATTCAAACAGGTCAGAACAGCTGTCCGCAACAACCTACACGTTCGTCGGCAGGTCACAGTTTACCAACGCCCTCTACCGAGATCAAAGCACACTGCAGATGACGACCGATCCACCCGTCAAAGTGGGAACCGATCCACCCGTCAAAGTGGGAACCGATCCACCCGTCAAAGTGGGAACCGATCCTCCC